GGAGGAGAAACATGAGAGAGAGACATCCATTGGTTGCCACCCGCAACTCAGGTACATTCCCTTGATGGGGAATCGAACCAGCAATCCTGTGGTGTGAGGGCCGGTGCTCTAACCATTTAGTCACAACAGCCAGGGCAATAAGTCTTTATTTCTATAAACAGGCAATGAGCTAGACTATAGTTTACCTATCCCCTAATCTAGGTTAAGGAAATTTCTCAGAGACTTAGTGGTTTTGAATGCAGAAACTAAAGGATTAAAAAATAAATCTTCAATTACAAGATTTTGTTTTTCTTTATTCTTAATAGGTGAATATTATACCAGTGATTGCGAAAGCAGATGCAATTTCTAAAACGGAATTACAGAAGTTTAAGATCAAGCTCATGAGTGAATTGGTCAGCAATGGCATCCAGATATACCAATTCCCGACAGATGATGAAACTGTTGCTAAAATCAATGCTTCAATGAATGTGAGCTCCTAACTGAATATTACATCTGTTTTATATGTGAAAAAAGTAATTTATAGATAACATTGCTGCTAACATATTTTCACTTATGTCTTCCAAAAAGACACCAAACAAGGTGAATTTTCAAAAAGTCCAGTATAGGAAAATGTTTTGTTTTCTGGAGTTGAAAAAAGTATAATGAGCCTATATTTTTTAGCATATTTTCTTTCTTCCATATTTTCATGTAAATCAAATGATACATTGTGAGACTGGGATACTCCTTTTGTGGAACCATAGTTAAAGATACCTTAAAGCAGTGGTTCTCAACCTTCTGGCCCTTTAAATACAGTTCCTCATGTTGTGACCCAACCATAAAATTATTTTCATTGCTACTTCATAACTGTAATGTTGCTACTGTTATGAATCGTAATGTAAATATCTGATATGCAGGATGGTCTTAGGCGACCCCTGTGAAAGGGTCGTTCGACCGCCAAAGGAGTCTCGACCCACAGGTTGAGAACCGCTGCCTTAAAGATACCTTAATTGCCTTAAAGACACCTTTTAACTCTGTCTTTAAAAACAGAAGACTTGATAGCTTCCTTTGGTTACTTAGAATCTTAAAATCTTTAAGGAGATCTTTCTGATCTGTTGTTTTAAGCTCATTCTCTCTTGCAGTGTCACAAGTACATAATAAACATTTATATAACCTTTAGTTTACTATAATTGAAGACAGCTAAGTTTTCATATAACTTGCGTCAGGCTTCCAAATCTTTAAAATATCGGCTTATATTTTGAAGGATCATGGGTTTTGGAGTCGGACAGATTTAACCATATATTCTTGTGGAAGTTATTAACCTCCCCTCCCCTAAGACTGTTAACGTATCTATAAAGTGGGATTAATAATGCCTATCTTAAGGGTTGTTGAGAGGATACAACTTTGATGCACTGTCAACATCATGACATTCGATTAACTGTTCATTCCATTTCTCTTTTTTCCCTTTTCTGACTTTTCATACTCCCATTTACTTTACGATACTTAAAACTAAAAATATAAAGAAGCCTGATTAATTTAAATGACATATAAATGTAATTGATCTTAATTCTTATGTGTCATATTGTCTCTGCATCTAATTTTATTTCTATGTCCATATGGAATAATTTTTCAGAAAGGCACAATTAAGAGATTAATAATGTCAATTATTAAATATTAAACATAATACTTAATATTTTTTACATTTGTCTTTTCCTTGTATTAATCCTTAACTTCAGAGAGATCAGTCTGCTCATTGACTCTAAATCTACCTTTTGTATGTTTGCTCAACATTTTCTCTTTACCTCCCTGGCCAGTGTGGCTCAGTTGATTGGGAATCGTCCTGTGCACCAGGAGGTTGCCAGTTTAATTCCTGGTCAAGGGCACATGCCCAGATTGTGGGCTCAATCCCTAGTAGGGAGGCCTGCAGGAGACCGCCGATAGATGTTGCACTCTCACATGGATTTTTTTGTGTGTGTTTTTTTTCTGTCTTTCTCCTTTTTCCTTCCTTTCTCTCTAAAAAGCAGTAAACTATTCTTCAAATAAGTTTGTTTTTCTCCTTACTTAAGCTAGTTTTCCAGTCTGCTCGATTCATCTTTAGTTTGGATTGTATCTTCTTGCTCATAGTAATCTCTCATTTCTCTAAATTTCAGAAACATTTTCTGTATTTAGCAGTAATTTGGGACGTAAATATTATTTTGGGTTAATAGTATATATCTATGCGCACACTAAATATATATATGGTCAAGTTTTAAAATCTGAAGCATAGATTATTTGATTTTAAGAAATTTGCTATTTAACCCCTAGAGTGCCGGGGAGCGTGATTGCGCTCCTCCTGTCTTTCACCAAAAGTGCCGGGAGCGCTGTTGCGCTCCTCCTGCAGTGTCACTATTAGATGCTAGTAGTTCACTCTTTATGTGGGGAAAAAAATTTAAAAACCTTAACTCAAAATGGCTTGGCAATTTTAGCATAGTTCCAAGGATATTGGTTGGCACTCAAAGAGTTAATTAATTTTATGTTATTTTTATAAAACTGTTTTAGTATTTATCACACTGGTATGAGATGTGATTGATATTGTGGCTTCTTTCCAGGGACATTTGCCATTTGCTGTTGTAGGAAGTATGGATGAGGTAAAAGTTGGAAATAAGCTGGTCAAAGCTCGCCAGTACCCTTGGGGTGTTGTACAAGGTAAATGAGATAAACAATGACTAGAAATATTTGTCACCCAATAGTCTCAAAGTTGCATTTAATGCATTCTTTAAAATGATGCTTATTTATTTTTTTAATATATTTTTATTGATTTCATAGAGGAAGGGAGAGGGAGAGAGAGATAGAAACATCAGTGATGATAGAGAATCATTTATTAGCTGCCTCCTGCATGTCCCACACTGGGGATCAAACCCGCAACCTGGGCATGTGCCCTAACCAGGAATCAAACTATGACTTCCTGGTTCATAGATCAACACTTAACCACTGAGCCATGCGGGCTGGACAAAGTGATGCTTATTTTTTATTATGACTCACTAGAGGCCCGGTGCACTAAATTCGTGCACTGGGGGGGAGGGGGCCCCTCAGCCTGGCCTGCACCCTCTCCAATCTGGGACTCCTTGGGGGATGTCAGACTGCCCGTTTAGGCCCACTGTGGACCCACCCGCCAGCCCCCAGTGCCCTGCGGGAGGCCCGGATGAGGGTGGAGCGGGTGCCAAACACTGTGGACCCACCCGCCAGCCCCCAGTGCCCTGCGGGAGGCCCGGATGAGGGTGGAGCGGGTGCCAAACACTGTGGACCCACCCGCCAGCCCCCAGTGCCCTGCGGGAGGCCCGGATGAGGGTGGAGCGGGTGCCAAACACTGTGGACCCACCCGCCAGCCCCCAGTGCCCTGCGGGAGGCCCGGATGAGGGTGGAGCGGGTGCCAAACACTGTGGACCCACCCGCCAGCCCCCAGTGCCCTGCGGGAGGCCCGGATGAGGGTGGAGCGGGTGCCAAACACTGTGGACCCACCCGCCAGCCCCCAGTGCCCTGCGGGAGGCCCGGATGAGGGTGGAGCGGGTGCCAAACACTGTGGACCCACCCGCCAGCCCCCAGTGCCCTGCGGGAGGCCCGGATGAGGGTGGAGCGGGTGCCAAACACTGTGGACCCACCCGCCAGCCCCCAGTGCCCTGCGGGAGGCCCGGATGAGGGTGGAGCGGGTGCCAAACACTGTGGACCCACCCGCCAGCCCCCAGTGCCCTGCGGGAGGCCCGGATGAGGGTGGAGCGGGTGCCAAACACTGTGGACCCACCCGCCAGCCCCCAGTGCCCTGCGGGAGGCCCGGATGAGGGTGGAGCGGGTGCCAAACACTGTGGACCCACCCGCCAGCCCCCAGTGCCCTGCGGGAGGCCCGGATGAGGGTGGAGCGGGTGCCAAACACTGTGGACCCACCCGCCAGCCCCCAGTGCCCTGCGGGAGGCCCGGATGAGGGTGGAGCGGGTGCCAAACACTGTGGACCCACCCGCCAGCCCCCAGTGCCCTGCGGGAGGCCCGGATGAGGGTGGAGCGGGTGCCAAACACTGTGGACCCACCCGCCAGCCCCCAGTGCCCTGCGGGAGGCCCGGATGAGGGTGGAGCGGGTGCCAAACACTGTGGACCCACCCGCCAGCCCCCAGTGCCCTGCGGGAGGCCCGGATGAGGGTGGAGCGGGTGCCAAACACTGTGGACCCACCCGCCAGCCCCCAGTGCCCTGCGGGAGGCCCGGATGAGGGTGGAGCGGGTGCCAAACACTGTGGACCCACCCGCCAGCCCCCAGTGCCCTGCGGGAGGCCCGGATGAGGGTGGAGCGGGTGCCAAACACTGTGGACCCACCCGCCAGCCCCCAGTGCCCTGCGGGAGGCCCGGATGAGGGTGGAGCGGGTGCCAAACACTGTGGACCCACCCGCCAGCCCCCAGTGCCCTGCGGGAGGCCCGGATGAGGGTGGAGCGGGTGCCAAACACTGTGGACCCACCCGCCAGCCCCCAGTGCCCTGCGGGAGGCCCGGATGAGGGTGGAGCGGGTGCCAAACACTGTGGACCCACCCGCCAGCCCCCAGTGCCCTGCGGGAGGCCCGGATGAGGGTGGAGCGGGTGCCAAACACTGTGGACCCACCCGCCAGCCCCCAGTGCCCTGCGGGAGGCCCGGATGAGGGTGGAGCGGGTGCCAAACACTGTGGACCCACCCGCCAGCCCCCAGTGCCCTGCGGGAGGCCCGGATGAGGGTGGAGCGGGTGCCAAACACTGTGGACCCACCCGCCAGCCCCCAGTGCCCTGCGGGAGGCCCGGATGAGGGTGGAGCGGGTGCCAAACACTGTGGACCCACCCGCCAGCCCCCAGTGCCCTGCGGGAGGCCCGGATGAGGGTGGAGCGGGTGCCAAACACTGTGGACCCACCCGCCAGCCCCCAGTGCCCTGCGGGAGGCCCGGATGAGGGTGGAGCGGGTGCCAAACACTGTGGACCCACCCGCCAGCCCCCAGTGCCCTGCGGGAGGCCCGGATGAGGGTGGAGCGGGTGCCAAACACTGTGGACCCACCCGCCAGCCCCCAGTGCCCTGCGGGAGGCCCGGATGAGGGTGGAGCGGGTGCCAAACACTGTGGACCCACCCGCCAGCCCCCAGTGCCCTGCGGGAGGCCCGGATGAGGGTGGAGCGGGTGCCAAACACTGTGGACCCACCCGCCAGCCCCCAGTGCCCTGCGGGAGGCCCGGATGAGGGTGGAGCGGGTGCCAAACACTGTGGACCCACCCGCCAGCCCCCAGTCCCCTGCGGGAGGCCCGGATGAGGGTGGAGCGGGTGCTGAACACCGGTCCCACCCGCCAGCCCCCAGTCCCCTGCGGGAGGCCCGGATGAGGGTGGAGCGGGTGCTGAACACCGGTCCCACCCGCCAGCCCCCAGTCCCCTGCGGGAGGCCCGGATGAGGGTGGAGCGGGTGCTGAACACCGGTCCCACCCGCCAGCCCCCAGTCCCCTGCGGGAGGCCCGGATGAGGGTGGAGCGGGTGCTGAACACCACGGTCCCACCTGCCAGCCCAGGGTTCCCTGGGGGAGGCCCGGATGAGGGGGAGCGGTGCTGGCAGTTGGCACTGTCCCGCCCTGCCTGCAGTATGCAAATTAGCCGCCATCTTGGCTGGTGGTTAATTTGCATATCTCGCTAATTAGCCAATGGGAAGGGTAGCGGTCGTACGCTAATTACCATGTTTCTCTTTTATTAGTGTAGATTGTTAGTCAGGTCTGTAGAGACCAGGCAGAGCCTCTCCATTACCTGCTCAGGTGCACCAAGACATGCAGAAGGTGGGACACAGTGGTCAGGCATTTTGAACAAAAATTTGAGTGTAAATAACAGTGTGTAAACATGATACATAAACTAATTACCAGGTAATTCTGGGCTATAGTAAGTTATCTTATAAATTTACGTATTTTTTACTACAAACTATTGCCAACTATTTCCAAAATAAACCAGTCAGCCAACTAAAAAAATTTTAGGATTTATTTAGCATTATAATAGTAAGTAATTAGAACTATTTGGTTCATTTACTTGTAATGGTAATTACTAGTACTGATTTCCCGATGCTGCTTTTTATTAAATTGACAAATTTTATAATGAATTTAAATATTGAAAATTAAACATTTTTAACGTATAAAAATATTTAAAAAACAGTTGTACTTAAACAGTAACATACTTATTTGTGGTTTTCTGGTCACTATAAACATAGGGGGAACATTTAAGTTTATTAACTGTCTAACACAAGATTGTAAATGTGGCATTTGTATCAAAAGAATTTGATAGTATGCACAGATGGGATTCTTGAGTATGCAGAATTTACTACTTTGAAGTGAAATAATGTTACTTCTTTTTCAAAATATATTTTTATTGATTTCAGAGAGGGAGAGAGAGATAGAAACATCCATGATGAAGAAAGAAACATTGATTGGCTGCCTCCTGCATGCCTCTTACTGGGGATCAAGCCCACAACCCGGGCATGTGCCCTTGACCAGAATCGAACCCGGGACCCTTCAGGACACAGGCCGACACTATCCACTGAGCCAAACCAGCTAGGGCTGATGTTACATGTTTTTTAAGCACTATGTGAAGTATCCTGAAGATGTTTTGTAAACGGTTAGCACTATGTTAGTGAAATAACTGGAGCACATGATAACATAATATAGTACATTTCTTTCCTATTTCCTGTTTATCCATTGGCTACTAAATTTCAAGCAAATCTGGCCATCAGATTAATGTTGCCTATAATTTAGTGTCTTATGCAAGAGTTTCTTCCTTGGCTACTTATACAGATATCAGACTTACCATTTTCCTGTTTGTTATTTCAGATATTTTCATTTAATTACTCATTCAACAAATGCTAATTCTGTGTCCGTAATTAAAAACTGGTGTTGCTGTTTCTCGTTTTTCTGGCCAGTGGAAAATGAAAACCACTGTGACTTTGTAAAGCTTCGGGAAATGCTCATTTGTACAAACATGGAGGATCTGCGAGAACAGACCCATACGAGGCATTATGAACTGTACAGGCGTTGCAAACTGGAGGAAATGGGCTTTACTGATGTGGGCCCAGAGAATAAGCCTCTCAGGTAAGTGGGGATTATACTTCTTTATTTATCCAGAGGATGGAGAATGTCTTTTTCAGAAATCTCCCAATATGAAGTAGAACCATTTGATATTGATTAATTATTGTGCTTTTAGGTCAGTTAAAGCCTTCTTGTTTTTAAGGGTCTCTAAGTCATCACATAAAAGGAAGAACATATGGTAAAAGCTAATTATTTCAGTATGTGCTGAAATGAATAACTAAAGAAAAACTTTTAATTTGGTTTTGTTTTTTATTTATCTGAAAAAAAGCATATTATTATAAAAGAAAGTTGAAATGGGAATCATATTAAATAAATTTAAAAACTGTTGGTTTTTGTCCTGATGAATGTTTTTAGAATGACTTAAATTTAGGAAAATAAAGAAAGAATGAAAGTACTTATAGGGAGTTAGAAATTAGACTGTGTCTTAAATATTGCAATGTACTTACAAGAATTTTAGAACCTGATGACCTTCTTATGATGAACATTAAATGTAATTTTTTATGCTGCTGCATCCCATTTTTTTTAAGATATGTAAACATGAAACTCTAATCGTAAATACACTAATTCAGATTTGACAGAGCATTCCAGGAGGAAAGCATGAGATCTTTAAACTATTTTAAACTCTGTTATGAAACTAAGGATTTCTTCTCCTTCTGACTATTTGTATTTCAGTCATTTTTCTGGCTATTAGTAATTGCACCATAGTAAACAAAAGGAAGGAAGAGAAGAAATTAAATTGATGCTGCTATTGCAAATGACTTTTGGGAAGATTTAATAAATGACATTAAATTTTTAAATTTTTTTCAATCTATGGATTTAATTAGTGTTTTACTTCTTGGAAGCATTTTATGTACTTAATCCCTGCTCACCTATTCAGGAATGCTATACTTCCAGTTCTGGGCCAGTTCTGGTAAAATGATTATGTTCTTTATTGAAGATAAGTCACCTAGAGTTGATTCCTCTAATGCAGTGGTTCTCAACCTTTGCTGCACATTAGAATCAACTGGGAATCTTTTTAAAATCCTGATTTCTGGGCCTCATCCTCCGGAAATTCTGTTTCTTTGTTACTAATGTTGTGGCCCCACCCCATAACAAAGAAACAGAATTTCCGGAGGATGAGGCCCAGAAATCAGGATTTTAAAAAGATTCCTAGGTGATTCTAATGTGCAGCCAAGGTTGAGAACCACTGCTCTATGTTTCCCAAAGGAGGCTTTGTCTTTCATTCTTTCAAGTCTCAGGGTCAATTCAGAGGTCTCTGTGTACATTAGTGAGACACAGATCCCGAGTGAGAGCAAGTAGGACAGCCTTGAAAGACTCCAAGAATTGGATTCAGGTTGCCAGGTGGATCGGTCATTAGTCACCTGTGGATGACTAAGGGATACAGATTCAGAATTTCTAGGGATGGAGCCCAAGAATCTGCATTTAAAGTAATATCCTAAGTTCAGTCATTTAGCAGATACTTAACTGTTTGTCTGCTGTCTGCCCAGGATGATGCTAGTCAGTGGGCATGTAAGGTCTGTGGAATTAAACCGAGACCCTGCCCTTGTAGAGCTTCTGAGGTGGGAGTGGGAGGAAGACACTGGCCCTGTGTGGAAAAGAGAGTGTGGAATGTGCTCAGAAGTGGAAGTGCAGAAACCAAATTAGGAGTGTACTTTAGTAGTCTAGGCATGAGAAGTAGAGGCTTGGATTGAAGAGTGGAGTAGAGGTTGTCAGAAGCATACTTAGGATATGTGATTTGAAGGTAAAGTTAATAGGACTCATTGATAGTTGGACATAGGACGTAAAGGAAGGAGGGGAATTGAGGATGACTCTAGTCCAGCCGTGGGCAAACTACGGCCCGCGGGCCGAATCCGGCCCATTTGAAATGAATAAAACTAAAAAAAAAAAGACCGTACCCTTTTATGTAATGATGTTTACTTTGAATTTATATTAGTTCACACAAACACTCCATCCATGCTTTTGTTCCCGCCCTCCGGTCCAGTTTAAGAACCCATTGTGGCCCTCGAGTCAAAAAGTTTGCCCACCCCTGCTCTAGTCACTAATTGTGACCTAAGAAACTGGATTCATGGTGGTGATGTTTATTGATATGAGCAAGATTGGGGAAGGGCTAGATTTTGGGTGTTGTGTGTGGTAATTGAGAGGTTTGGGACATGTTAAATTAAAGTTGCTTATTAAATACTAGAGGCCCTGTGCATGAAATTCGTGCACTGCGGGGGGTCCCTCAGCCCAGCCTGCACCCTCTCCAATCTGGGACCCCTCGGGGATCGGGCCTAAACCAGCAGTCAGACATCCCTCTCACAATCTGGGACTGCTGGCTCCCAACCGCTTGCCTGCCTGCCAGCCTAATCACCCCCTAATCACTCCCCTGCCAGCCTGATTGACACCTAACTGCTCCTCTGGAGTGTACAAAGATGCTTAGGACAAACCAGTTAGGAGATGTGGCTGGGACTAAAGAAACAGCAATGAAATTAGAACTGGTTGCGTTTGAAAAGTATCTAAAAGATGAAACTGAAAGAACTTAGTGATTGTTTAGCTATAATAAAATAAAAAGGTAGGGGATGCCAGAAGATGCTAGAGGAAGACTTCTATTCTCCTATATTTATGGTTTCATTGGCCAGTTAGATGTTTGTACCATTCATCAAGGTAGGTGTCTCTGGAGGAAGACTAACTTTTTTGGAGGGGTGGGAGGACAGCAGTAACTAGCATGATGGAAATCATAAGCTGAGGTTTGTACCTGTGACTTTATTTCTTTTTTATTTTTCTATTTTTAAAATTTTTATTGATTTCAGAGAGGAAGGGAAAGGGAGAGAGAGATAGAAACATCAGTGATAAGAGAGAATCATTAATTGGCTGCCTCCTACACGTCCCCTACTGGGGATCAAGCCTGCAACCCAGGCATGTGCCCTTGATTGGAATCGAACCCGGGACCTTTCAGTCCTCAGGCCGATGCTCTATCCATTGAGTCAAACCAGCTAGTGCTGTACCTGTTGACTTTAATTTTCCTCTGAAACATCCAAGTGAGAATGTCAAATGGCACTTTGGATATTTATTTGGAGCTCAGAGGAGAGGGCTGGACCAAAGAAATTAGCTTAAGATGGTTAATTGAATATATGAGTATGGATGAGATTACTTGGAAAGAGAAGTACATCTGGAAAGAAAGGTGCCTTGGGGGAGAAACCAAGATGGCGGCATAGGTAAACACCGGAGATTGCTGCCGCAAACAACCACTTCAAAAATACAACTAAAAGACGGAACGGACATCACCCAGAACCACAGGAAGGCTGGCTGAGGAGAGATTCTTCAACTAGAAGGAAAGAGAACAGCATAC